TGTTTTTTCCTTCCAGACAATTCAAGTCTCACCATGTCTTACTTCTCATGTTTTGTTAGATAATCTACAAATGTCACACGAAGTATGTGAATCCTTACAGTCTGTGATACCATATCATTAACCACTGTGTGTATTTAAAACAAATTTTGTGACAAGATATATGTATAGGTTTTCTATTTATTAATGATCTGTTTTGTGCATTTCACTGAGACTATTTTTCTTTCTTCAGAAAGTAGCTTCATCTGAGAGAAAACATTTTCTTCTTATCCATATCCTCCAGTCAAATTCATTTTTTCTCAAAGTCTTTTCATGCTAGCTTTAAAAAACTCCTTTTCTATTTCCTAAAAACTTAGCAGTTACGTGTGAAACATCTTGGACTTGGTTTATCCAAGATACTGTCATGTGTATTATTTGTGATAGAAATGTTAGAGAGTCGAGCCGGATACTATTCTTCAAGACAGACTCTGTTGATGTTTTTGCATCAGACTCAGGAAAAGCTGAAGTTCCCTGGGGCCTTTTGATGTAGTTATGTTGGTACCACAAGAGGTAGTAGTGTCACTGGCTTTGAGCTTGGGATGTCTTGAGAGCAGGGGGAGGGGGATGCAGTTTGTCTGAAATTCCAGCTGTCTGCCTCCTTTGTACATGGAGACATAAGGTTGATGCCCAGATTATTTTAGCATCCAGGAAAGACTGTGGGAGACATACTCTTAAATTGCAAAGGCAGTTTCACATCACATCTTTTATTAAAGTCATTACCATTTAGTCTCCATAAATCTCAATAGGTCACTTAGCTGCAGAAAATAAGGATATGACATGTGGTAATATAATGTGGGCAAGGGTAAGGTGAGGATTTAGAGAGATAAAAAGGAGGAAGGAAAATGTTTTGAAAATGTATGAAAATGCATTTACATCAAAGAGACCCATTTAAACTGTTCAGTTTTGATAAGGGAAGGGAAAAATAACTCATTTATAGCCAGGGTCATGAACAAGTGCATGTAATATATATTGAGATCTCCAAGAATTAGTTTCCTACAGGAAATTTCTTCGTTTGATACATTATAGTATAAAATAGTAAAGGTAATGAGATAAAGGTATGATCTTACATTTTACAGGTTTTAAAGCAAATGTAAAGATGTTTAACATTTTCATACTTTTACAAACATGAATTGATAGAAGTGAAATAGGTAATGATGAGATAGTGCTTTCAACTTAAATTGAATAATGATTTATGATCATGTAACGTATGAAAATTATTCTGTAGGTCCTATGGTGACCACAGTTAAGAATAAACTATATGCCTCTAATCATTAAAAGCTTATAGTTTAGCAGAGGAAATAAAATCATGTATAATTAGATTTAATATGTGGCATACAATGATAGGCCATTAGAACTTAAAGAAGAAGGAATTTCATGGTTTTTTTGGTAGGGGGTACCTAGTAAAATTTTGGTAAACATATGGCTTTGAAACAGAATAATAATAGACATGTAGGAGTTATATAGGATATATCTGAGAAGTAGGGACATGCAAAATACATACCTTTTCTTTATAGCATTCATGTATTAATCAAATACTATTGATTGTTCTGTTTTATGCCAGACACTGTGTTAGATGCTGGGAGGAAGGATAAATAAAATGTGGTCTCTGCCCTCAAAGAAATTAACAGTGACTGTTCGTATTATGGAAGCAATTTATCTTTTTCCCTTTTCTTCCTGCAGTATGTTGATACAAATTTTTAAGCAATTGTGTTTAACCAGTCAGTTAGGGTCATAAGTGGAGAGGATGATAAAGGGGGAGCAGAGGTTGAAAATTAAATCAGAGCAGATACCATAGAGATGTGAGTGGACAGGGAAGAGCTGACAGAATTCTCGGGCTTCATCACCGGTGCCATGACTGACATATTTAGCGTACTTGACACCTTTTCTTTAACGTCTCTCTCTTCTCTATGACAAAATTATTTTGGGGAACAATTATATAGTAACATAATCATGATTTTATTGATTTGTTCTTTATTAATACAATTAACAATTTAAACAGATAATTACTTTCAATTTTAAAGGTACTAAAAAGTGAGGCACCTGTGTGGGGTGGCTCCATTGGTTAAGGGTCCGTCTTCAGCTCAGGTCATGATCTTGCTGTTTTTGAGTTGGAGCCCCACGTCGGGCTCTGTGCTGACAGCTCAGAGCCTGGAGCCTGCTCCGGATTCTGCGTCTCCCTCTGTCTCCACCCCTCCCCCATTCACGCTTGCGCTCTCTGTGTCTCTCTCTCTCAAAAATAAATAAACATTAAACAAATTTTTAAAGGTACTAAAATGTATTAAAATATTTCATGTGTGCACTAAAATCGCACTTAACTAGGGGCGCCTGGGTGGCGCAGTTGGTTAAGCGTCCGACCTCAGCCAGGTCACGATCTCACGGTCCTTGAGTTCGAGCCCCGCGTCAGGCTCTGGGCTGATGGCTAGGAGCCTGGAGCCTGTTTCCGATTCTGTGTCTCCCTCTCTCTCTGCCCCTCCCCTGTTCATGCTCTGCCTCTGTCTGTCCCATAAATAAATAAAAACGTTGAAAAAAATAAAAAAAAATAATAAAATAAAATCGCACTTAACCAATTGTATTAGTTTCTTAGCTACTATAACAAAATACCACAAACTCAGTGAGTTTAAACAACACAAATTTATTGCCTTACAATTCAGGAAGTCAGAAGTATGAATTGGGTCTTGTGGGACTAAAATCAAGCTGCTGGCAGGGCTGAGTTCCTTCCCAAGGCTCAAGAGGAGATGCTCTCTCCTTATCTTTTCCTGTTCCTTCCCTTGTCTCATCTCTTCTCAGTCTCATGCCTCCCTCTCTCACTTATATTAACTCTCGTGATCACGTTGAGCCCATCCTGATAATCCGTCATCATCTCCCCATCCCAGCATCCTTAATTTTATCACCTCTGCAAGTCCTTTCTGCTGATGTAAGGTGACATATTGATAGATTCAGGGACTCCTTTGGGTGTGTGGGGGGGGTAATTATTCTGCCTAACACACCAATCAAAAGTATTATGTCTTATAGTTTGCCCTTTGTTTTATTGTTTTACATTTTAAACCCTCACACACAAAACTCCAAGTGCTCACATGGACTGACAGAATTGAAGGAACTCAAGTTCTGTTTTTCTTTGTCTTCACAATCACTGTGTTCTATTCATTCATTTCTAACAAATCGATCACAAAAAATATGGTTATTTCTAATCTAATTTATTAAACACAGGGTTTTTCACAGACATTAGAGAAATGAACTTCTCCAAAATGAGCTTGAAAAATTCTGCACTGATGAATTTATTCTTGAAATGAATTTGTATAGTTGAGCCCACATGGGTCAGGGCCAATTTTATATTAGAAGTGGCCTGAAATAAGTGTAATGTAGAAAACAATATTTATTAAAGGTCATGCCATAAAAATGTGCTAATGTTAAACTTCTTTGTCAATTAGTGAAACTTATCAGTAACTGCAACAATTGTTGAAAATTTTAGCCACCAAAAGATTTTTTCATAGAGGAGTAATTTACCACTGATGTTGTTTAGGCTCACTGGAGCATGGTAATAAGAAAAAGCAGAGAGATTTGCATCCCTGCATAACCTGTCCGCAGGGGTGACTGTTCCTGCTGCCCTACCTTTGATTTGCCACTGAATCAATTAGGTTCTTCCCAGGTGTATTTTATTTTAAATGCCTGTTTATCAAAGTCTAATCTGATTATTTCAGGTACAATAAGTGCTGCTATAATGAGACAGGCGTATTCTAAAAATCACTATACTAATTCACTCTGTTGTGACTTTGTGAAAATAACACTTGTTAAGTAGAACTCAGAGGTATGAGAGGATGAGCTGTGTTTAACAAAAGACCACAGAGGATTGAAGTTGAGACGTTTATTACTCACGGGTCCTAGAAGAGGTTTTACAGTGCATCTTGAAAGGCCACTTGGGAAAGTCAAGGCAGGGTACAGGCAGAGAGGGTGGCAGGATCTGGGGCACATGCCTTTACTAGGGTCCATGGGCAGAGGATTTTGGGGTTCTGGGCTAAAGCCAGATGGTCAATTCAAACCAGAGTGGGGTTTTAGTCAATTTTGCAAGAATCTTACCTAAGGGGGGCACAAGGGGAAGGCCCCAGGAGGGGTGGGGACAGTGCTTATCACATGAGCTTGCATGGGGGGGCTAGTGCCAGTTCAAGGCCCCTGTAGGCCACTTGGCCACACAAAACGGATGCCAGGGAGCAACGTCATAGAGTGGTTTAGCTAACCTCGCACACACAAATTAAGATCACCAAGCTTATGGCAAAAATGGAATTAGAGGCACAAACACTTGAATAGTATTATCTTCTTTTAATTTTGTAAATGTTTATTTATTCTTAGAGAGAGAGCGCGTGGTGGAAGAGGGGCAGAGGGAGACTCAGAATCTGAAGCAGGCTCCAGGCTCTGAGCTGTCAGCACAGAGTCCCATGTGGGGCTCAAACCCACAAGCAATGAGATCGTGACCTGAGCCCAAGTCGGAAGCTCAACCGACTGAGCCACCCAGGCATCCCAAACACTTGAACACTTTAATGACACATTAGAAAAAGATAGGAAGCTGATAAAAACTGTAGTATACTTACACACTTTCTAAGTGTTTAGGAAATAAATAATACAGTATGAAACTTTACTTTGACAGAGACCTGAAGCTCACTTGGGAGGGGGCCTCAGAATTACAGCCCGAAGGTTAGTGAAGTGGTGAAGTGAGAGTGATCTGAAATCTGTCGGAGAGTTGCAGTGCCAGCTGTGGATAGGGGTGGCTCACAGCACAGCTGGGATAGCTGGTAGATATTTGAGGTGTGCGCATGTATACCTTTTGTTCATTCCTATGCGTCTTGGTTCGGAAGGGTGCAGCTTTCTGCTGTCATGTGGTTGTTGTCATTAATGAAATTGTGCATAAGCAACTGTGAAATTTGTATCACACTCAATCTGTTCCTTAACTATAAATCTCATTGCAACAGATTTCTGTTTTCAGAGGAGGCATCATAGTAGGGCTCACCACGATGACACTTCAACCCTGAGTGGCAACATGAAGATATACAAAAGCCTGTTTTCCAACTTGCAGATCAGAGAACAGACCGGGTCCTGGGAGACCAAATGGTTTCATGTCAAGTACACAGCACCTGTGACAAAGCTCCTCCCTCTCCCACTTTCTCAGGTAAGACTAACAGAACCCAGCACATTTCTCTTTTGGGTCTTGACCTCAGAATCTTTCTAAGGACAAATTTACAAAGAGCTGCTGTCAATCAGTTGGAGTTGACATAAAGAGACGAAAAACTGCTTTGCCATCATTGATGGTAGAAAAAAGCATGGGTTCTGAAGTCATGTAGACCTGGGTTCAAATATTGACTCTTATCTCTTAATTGTAAGTCTTGAAGAGTTAACTAAGCTCCGTTGGCCTCTGTTCTCTGAACTATAAAACCTAGCTAATACTATCTCCTTCACATGGTTGTTGTGAGAACGAAGTAACGCCATACAGTGTCTGTACCTGTCTGCCTTGAGTAGTCTTTTTAACTTCCCCTTGGTCAAAAAAAGAGGCAAAGAAATAAATCTTGACTGAGGGTAGAGAGTAAGGTGGAGGTATTTCAGTTAACTCATAAACCAAAATAACCATCTTCCTTTCATGGCTGGATTTTTTCTCTGCCCTGTGCATGCAGACAGACAAATTTGAGTGGAATATTACCAAACCACAGATGCAGGGCACAGGTTGCCTGGGTTCACAAAAACAATCCTGGGTGAGATACAGATCCACTGAAATTTTCCTTGTCATCGCTTCTTGTCATCTGTGCTAGCCACCAGGCAATGCTCTATAGCACTGATCTTTGAACAGAATATTTTGGCTGATCCTCATGGAAAGCAGGTGTTTGTGAGATGGATTTTAAAGCTAAACCCAAAGACAAAGATGCCAATAGAGAATGCTTCTTTTTTTTCAATGTTGATGATTTGTGATATGAACTTAGGCATGCTGGACTGAAGATTTTAAAAAAAAGCCCCAATTCGCAATCATTTCTTAATACAAGAAATTAAGCATAGAAAACAGGAAACCTTTGCTTATTTTCTTCAAAAAATAATGAAATAGGTATTAAAATAATTTTAAAAGTTGTTGTTGAAAGGCAATCTGCATATTTCTTTCAGCTGGTAAAATAGAGACCGAATTGAAACTGATTACAATCTGGCAAAAAGGTGGTTCCTATTGCTCTGAGATGTAAATTTCCCAATGACAATTTTTGCTATCAAAGGCGCCACATTCTAAAGCTTTAGTCCTCATTTCAGAGGCAGAGATCTGCTTCTTTTGTATTGTAATCTTTAGACAAGAAGATTCATGCTCATAAACATGCACAACAATAAAGCTACCCAGGGTAGATGAAATGGGAATGTTGGCAGAACGCAGTGCTGTTTCTGCTGTAGCTATGCCAGTTACATGATCCCTACTGGAAGCCGCTCGTTAGCTGAGACATTATTTCAATTCAGGGGAACTGAATACCAGTGAGGGTTCATGTTCTGGTATAAAATGGAAATGCTGAGCTAAAGTCAAATAGAAGTCAGAGCTCCAGGAATGGAGGGGAAGAAATTATTTCTGTTCCAAGCTCATGCTAAGGATATACAACTTCATGCCAAATTTAACCTGGCTTTAGACTGAATAGGGTGACAGATATTTTCATTTAGTAAGAATATAATGATAGGGATTTTATACGTTATTAGTATTTTTACTGCTTTACTGTGAAAGTGCTGTTTTTCAATTATTCTAGGCAACTATATTGCAGGGGATAAAGGGACTGTAATATCACTGTTTTTTTTTTTTTTTTTTCAGCCAGACACAAAGTTGTGTGTTTGATACTATAGGGAAGGTGCATTCTACTCTTTTAAACCACTAGGTCTTTCAGAATGTGGACTAGAACCACACTCCCTTCTCTGTTTGAATAGTTAAAGGGCAGAAATTCACCTGGAAGCTGGGGCGTTTTTGTAAGAGATTTCCAAGAGTGCACTGGAGATCTATCCCAATGACTGCCCAAGATTCTCTATTTTCATGTGACAGTGGCAACAGGTCTGATGGAAGGCAGCAGATAGCCTTGTGATGTGTCAAGGTGGCACCAGTGTCCAATGAAATTGATTCCTGCTGGAAGATGTCACTTAATATGGCATCATCTAGACTACCCTCCTAAACCCAGTTGACTTGCCATCTGTTCCACAGTGAAACTGGCACAGTCTCTAAGAGGAAACATACTGCCATCCTATATAATGGCCATTGGGATGGAAAGCCAATTGACCATGATAAGTTCTGTTGATTAATTGTTGATGTTAAAATAAAGATTGCAAGCCAAAAAAAAAAATTGTAAGACTGGTTCATCCTGAATTTTGTTTATTCAAAGTGAATTTTTATGCCAAAAATGATTTCTGGTTGTCTCATAAATTGCTGTATTTTACATTTATAGTTAGGACATGATATTTACAGAGATTTGAGACTAATACATCAGGTTTATGAAATCATTAATTGCATGCTGCCAGGTCTTAAGATAGAATGCTAATTTTGTAGTTTTTTACATATTTCACACACATATAGACACGTGCACACCTATTTGTGCACTTACCATACGACTCATCTGAACATTCTAAGTTATTGTCTTGATAGGCAATTATTTCTCTAGTAAGAAAAAATGACCTCTGTAGCTTTGCCCATTAATTCACTTCAGTGTACTCCTCTCAGAAGAGTTCCCTGTCAAAGAGGTTGCCATATCTGAACTAGCTGAGCACCACGAATACTAGTGACTATGATTTTTTTTTGATATTGCAAAAATTATCTTCATGAACTTCTAAGCCTATAAACGGATGACCCTTGGATTCTGCAGCCACTAGAGGTATAGTTTCTCTCGATGTATGTTCCTTAACTGCCTCTCCATGATGGGCTGTTGCATTAAGTTGACACCTACCTTATAGTGTATGGTTAGTTGGTAGTTATTCCCATCTTATAGTTTAATCATACGCACATTTTATAGTTTAAGTCTATGCCTGTCTTATAGTTCATATACAAAAAAATATCAGTTTTTCTTTTGCCCATATTATGTTTAAAATTAGTCATACTGGTTCATTTATGAATTTGGTAATGAACCCATATTTCCTCTAAATGATAAATGTGAATCCATGTTCAGGGTAGGAGGCAGCTCTACTCTGTACGAGCAGAAGAGAGACAAAAAAACAAATCTGACTGGCCCTTGGTCAGACACGGGCAGGTGCACCAATCAGCCCCACAGTGAGAAAGCTATAATGATGAGATATGTTATGGACTTGTTGGCTTCAACTCTATCAATCGTGGGAAACACTGAGAGCAATTAGATTTGACATTGATAGACCCTCATACTCAAAACTCTAGGGGGTGGGATCTCCTCTGCCAACTGCTTGCCAAACAGGACTCTTTAACTAGTTGTATAAAATATCTGGCTCCTTAAAGAAGGAAGGTATCCAAATTAATCCTAAGCGAGGGGGCTGTGTTAATTTTGAACTGAAGCTTTATTTTAGTCAAGAAGGCAAATGACATTTGGAAAGGATTGTAAGATGATCCTTGAAAACCCTTCTGCACTTTATCTTTCCAGATATGCACAAAGGATTTTATAAAACTTAAGGGAGACAAACCATGTTGGCAACTTATCAAATTGCTTTTCTGGTTTAACAGTGCCTCTGAACTTTGTGTTTCTGACATTTGTGGAGTGTGTGATGTCCCAAGCTTATTTTATATTTATAAGTGTACAGTAGTTTTTTATTCCTTTTTATCACAGAAGATTTTGTAAACACATATTTGTAATATTTATATTTTGACAATATAAATATGTTGTGGAATGAAGGCAAAACAGAACAGGAAAACATTTTTGGTGATTCCTGAAGTTATGCATAGTATTTGAATTTAAGCATCACTGTGAAGATAGTGTAAAATACTTCACGCATTGAAAATATATTTCAATAATTCTGGCTCTTAAACATTTAAGGAACATCTATTGCAAAACAGCAAATTAAAAAAAAAAAATAAAACAAGCTAATCCTAAGAATCATTTGCTTAAGATTCTCTACATAAGTGGAGATGATTGAATTGAAAGATGATTCTAATTGTTTTTAATATATGCTTTTGCCTTACTAATCTTTTCAAGAAAAGTTTTGCCATTTCTATTGGTCAAATGCTTTGAATATGCAAATTTTTCCCTATATATTTCTATTTTCTATATGTCTCTGTTTTATTAAGTAAAATCCAATGCAAAGGTATTTGTTGACTTTTTTGGATACACTTGAAACAAAGTACCTAATGATGAAAATTCTTTAAGATCACATGATCTGTGCTTCAGAACAAACCGACATATGTGAAATTGGCCTCTAGCTTTTCAATCAAAAGAAATCAAGTCAATACGAGTTATTGCACATTCAAGATCAATTTAGGAAAAGATACCAAGACAAGAAGCAATATTTTTGTTCAGCATATTTCTCTTCTTTAGGGTAAAATCCCTGAAAGCAGATATGGTCTCTTTAACATGTTCCCCAAGGCAGCCAATACAAAGAAAACTTATTGGTGCCCCAGGCAAGGACACTTACCTTCTCTATCTATTATATTAGTTGGTTTAGATTTGGCTGCATACTTTTAAAATGACAGTAATATAAGCAAGTTGGGACTTCTTTCTAATACAAAAGAATCCTTCTTTGATTCTAACTTTCAGCTCGTAGGATGATGACACAATCTTAGCGTCATTTTGGCTCAGGTCATGATCTCACAGTTTGTAGGATCAAGCCCCACATCAGACTCCGCGCTGACAGTGTGGAGCCTGCTTGGGATTCTCTGTCTCTCTCTCTCTGCCCCATCCCCACATTCTCTCTCTCTCTCTCTCTCTCTCTTTCAAAAATAAATAAATAACCCTTAAAATAAATAAATAAATAAATAAATAAATAAATAAATAAATAGATAAAGCATCCGTTAATATTGGTTGGGTCAATTCATTTCACATTTCTATTCTTAACTGTGTAGTTGAATAAGGTTCTTTGCCTTATGACTTCATAAGGACAACAGGAGCTATCTGAAAAGATCTGAAATCATATTAGGAAAAGAGACATAGTTCACTAAGATTAACTTTATGTCTAAAGATATGTTATATGCTACATATTAACCCCTTTCACTATAATATTTATGAAAATGTTTATTAATATATACTAAGGTGATTTTGTAGAACTTAACAGGGTCTATTTATTCTTTTTCTTTTCTAGATTTATTAAAATTTTGTGGTATGAATATAATAGTTATACTTTTCTGTATATATTTATGGCTTTGTGACGTAAAATGAAAATAACTGACCAATTCTTAAGTTTTGTTGTTGTTGTTGTTGTTTCATTCCTCAAGTAAATAAGTTGAGAGAAGCCCTTCATGTAAATGTAAGATGGGGTGCTGTGGACTGGCTCACTGCCCTAGTGATCTGAATAGACTGAGCAAGTAAACAGCACTCCTCAGTGATAGCTATAGATGTAAAACTCCTTTGCATTAGGTGCCCTCAAAAATGAAAGCATCCCCTCTCTTTTTTTTCCCTTGCTTAATGCTGAAGCATGAAGTAGAAACCGAATCAGAATATATCTGTCTGTAACTTCAAAGACCTAGACAGAGTTAGATGTTCTGATAGCATATCTAAAGCTAGTGGACTGTCATAACATTTTCCTTGAGAAATCTGCTGAGAACCTGAGTTTACATGGAGAAACTTCTGAGGAGGGGGTCAAAACTAATATTTGCTTTTTTTTCTTTCTACGTCAGTTGTAAGAAATCCCAAGATGTGTTTATCTCTGTAGAATCTCAGAGTTATCTTTGACAATAGTACTCCTCCATTTGATCGAAATATACAAATGGAAAAGGTGACAACTATTCATATCAACAGACAAGTTTCTCAGAGACAAAAAGAACTTAGAGCTATTATAGTGTACATAAAAATCTAACTACCTATACAAGCAACATGCAGATATTATAAAAAAGCTATTTTATGCATATGTTTCAACCCAATTTATATGTTTATGAATAAATATTATTACATATAAAGGAAATCCATAACTGCATAATATATTAGAATACTGAAATATACTTTTTAGACTTCTGATGTTCTTTGAATGATTAATTTCTGAGGTTTTAATGTGTAGCTGCACTGTGAATGCACTGTAAATACTACCACTTGTCCATTGTAATAATTTTGTAAAGTCAGAATTTCTGTCCTTTGTGAATTAGACAAGCTTAGAATCTCTGCAGAAGGATCAATTTTATCATATGCAGCTTTGAAAGTAGATTTGGTTCATGTAATTAGTTTATTTGTACCATGTTGTTGAACCAAATGGATGCTCATATCATTATTCCACTTTATTATTTCTGTAGATGTGCCTAGATCTGGGCTAAATTAAATGTGTAGCATACAGAGCAGATCTGTATACTTGAAAATGTAAATTTGTATTGTTTATCCAGAATGAGTTTGTTAATCTAAGAAGATATTTATCAGTTCAATAGGGATAAAATTTGTGTTTTCTCTTAATATAAATTATGAAAAGTCAAATGGGTATAAGGCACTCATTACTGTGCTTGATTAGATATTTACCTTGTTTTACTTCTTGTCTTTTTTTCTCTTTCCTTTTTTTCTTTTCCTCTCCTCTCCTCTCCTCTCCTCTCCTCTCCTCTCCTCTCCACTCTTCTTTTTCTTTCCTTTCCTTTTTTGAAATTCTAATATGTGTCAATAAAGGGAGATACAGTTTTAGTTGCCTATCTAGTATCTGTCTCTCACCTCTTTCTTTTCCATTACAGCACTCCATTTTTGTTCATGTATCTACTTCTCCACCATGTGACTGAGAGAAAGCTTATCTGGATACTAGAACCTGATTTATCTGAGCCAATAAATGCATGGCATTGCCCTGGTGACATTACTCATTCAGAGTCGGGCATAAGGAACTAAATTTGCCCAATTACAGTCTATGATTGTGGGAGAGGTTTCTTCAGCTCTTTCACAATATCTGAACAAAAGGCAACGATTCACTTAATATGTCAACAAACTTGGGACCATGAGGTCCCGAATCAAGGAGAAGCTGACAGATAAAAGACAACCAACAGAGAGATTTTTGAAACCTGAGTTCTTGATGACAGCACTGAGCTACTGAAAATATCAGCCTGAGAATCCTACTGACTTCTGAGCTTTTTAGTATGTGAGATGATAAATATCCCTATTAAGTTATTTTGAATCATTTTATTTAACTTGTCGTCAAAAGTAAATTTCTTTTAAAATAATATAACATTAATAGGTGCTTATAATCATATGAAAACATATTGAAAAGAGAATAAAAGAAAATAAAAAGATCTATAGCAGTGATATCTGGAGATGCCACTGTTGACATTAAGGTGTTAATTGAAATTTTTTTAGCTTTTGCAGATATAGGTTGTATCTTTTATAAATGTTATTTGAAGGGCTACATTTTATGTATTTATCAATAAATTACACTGTTTATGTCTTTTTATGTCTTTTCTCTCTTATCTATGAGTATTTTAGTATTTCTATTTTTTAACTGCAGATTTTTGAAATATTCTGAAAATATGTATTCAATAAATATTTATTAATCACTACTGTATGCAAGACACTTTTCTGGGCCTAATGGGAAAGATGGTAAAATAGTAAGTGAAAACAGGTGATGTCCTTGACTTCACCGAGTTTCATTGAGCTTAGAGTCAAAGAAGAGCCATATTTATAAAATCGTTACTAAAACAAATCCATTGCTACAAGTTAAGTGTCCTGAAAGAAAGACCTAAGATGTTATAAGTGCTTCCAGTAAGGGAACACACCTTACTGACCAGCCATAGAGTGTTTTGGTTTAGTAACCAGTGAACCAGAATCTGAAGAATGCAGCTAGGTAAGAGTATCTTCCCTTCTCTGGTTGAAGGGTGTGTGGTACTCTGAGCAATTGAAATGAGGTCACACTATGATTAGATCAGGAAGAAGAATGCTTCACAAAGGGAAGCTGACAGGTTTTGATCATACAGGGCTCAGAAGAAGGCCTGGTTCTATTTTATGATCATTGGAGAACAACTAAAAGTTTGAGATTAGAGGTGGGGGTGGGAATAAAATCATATTTTCAAAAAATGATTCTGACTTTGATGTAGCAGCTCTGTTGGAAGAAAGGTAATGCAGGTGGGAAGGAAACTAAAGATGAAAAAAAAGTTGGTTTTGATAAATAATTGGGGGTTAAAATTGATCCTAAATTGGTAGAAGGGGATTACAGATAATTCCTAGGTTTTGTCTTATGGAAAAGGAAAATGATGCATTTTCTCAAATGGTGAAATGTATCGCTTTTTTCCCTTTTATCCTTTTATATTATTTCTGTGCTTCACAAACATAATAGCATAGATATTCCCTATATATTCTTCTTATATGTCATTTTCACGTACAATATCTTAAACCTTTGATAAGTCTCAAAAGTACTCAGGTTTATAATAAGAAGCAAGGTTTTCCTTCAAAAAAGTTATAGTCATTTTACCTGGTTATACTAACTGTAGGAGTTTTTGAAATTTTAAAAAGCATAAAAAAGAGAATAATTATATAAGTTATTAATACATCCCTCACCTAAAAGATTACTACTGTGCTGTTTCTTTTGAATCTATTTCTACAATATAGAACATATTTTTGAAAATTAAATCCTGTAATATATACTTTTTAAGTTATTATTTTTACTTAACTTTAAGTTGTAAGTGATTTTCTATACGATTGCTCTTTAAAGTGTGATATTTATTATTTGTATACTCCCAATGTAAGAATATACCATAAATCATTACTTTACTTAGCCAATGTCATTATATCTTTTAAGCAACATCTTTAAGTATTGGACATCTTTGAACAACAATATTTCAATACTTCTTTTGAGTGGATTTTTGAAGTTACTGGGTTGAGAGAGGTTTTATGTGTCCAGCATAAAATGCTTATTTGTATATCTTCAAACACACATTTTTATTCTTTACCCGTAAGAAATCTTGTAGTGTACAAACACATGTACCTATTATGTAGCAACTGATTTAATGTGAAACTTTCTTGCATTTTATGAATTTAAACATTTTAGAAAGTCAAAAGGGTATCTGACTCTTGTCCTTAAGTTCACTATATAACTTAACGGTGAACAATTTGATCATGATTTGCTTCGTCTGTTTATTTTACCAACTGTCTTGGTCTCTCAGGCTGTCTTAACAAAGTACTATACTCTGGGTGGCTTAAACAACAGACATTTATTTTCTCACAGTCTGGAGACTAAGAGTCCAAGACCAAGGTGCCAGCAGGGTAGATTTCATTTTGATGCCTCTTCTTTGGCTTGTAAGTGGTCACCATCTTGCTGTGCACTCACACGCTCTTTCTTTGATGCGTGTATGAGGAGACAGAGTGAGCCCTTTGGTATCTCTCTTGGTAAGGATACTAATCCTATTGGATCAGGGTCCCACCCTAGTGACCTCCTTTAACCTTAGTTACTTCCTTAGAAGGCCCATCTCCAAATACAGCCATGCCAAGGGTTAGGGTTTCATCATATTTGGGAAAGTGGGTGTATTCAGTCCATTGCACCAATCAAGTGTAAAGCAAATCTCTGTACCAACCAAGAGGTACAGTGTATCTCTGTCAGACAGAAATGCTGTACACACCTGCCACACGGTTATAAAAAACAAACAGGAAATCATTGTAGTAAGATAAAAAACAATAAAACAAAAGAGAATAAAAATAAACAAACAAACAAAAATTCCAGTAATTGCTCTACTTCTTAAACATTCCACTTTGGAAAATCCACTGTAGGTGTAATTTCTATGAATCTTTTCTTCTATAAATATGTACTTTGATTTTTTTTCCCTCTGAAACATTAAAGTCATGTACACTATGTAGTGTTTTATATGTCAATAAAATTTTATTTTAAATATGGTGTGGGCTGTTGATTTGGCCCAATTGTTCTTGATGATGATAAGACATCATTAGATTCGTCGTGGTGCATACAGAGTTTGAATTCACGACTTGGTTTAGCTAACATTTATTGGACATCCAGCATATGCCATGTATTGTTCTATTGAGGCAGACAGAAAACTTATACATAAACATAAAATATGATTTCCCATGGATACATGTTATAAAGAAAGTAAAACAAGGTTGGAAAGTAACTTGATATGGGGACAAAGAAAGAAAACTATTTCCCACAGGGAGGTTTCTCTAAAGAGTGTTAACCTGAGCAAAATTTGGATGAAATGAGGAGACAAAATTACATGAAAATATAATGAAAAAGGTTTTCAGTAGAAAAACTTCAATTACAGAGTTCTCCAAGGTGGGTACATTTCGTTTCTTAGGAAACAGATGGGAAAAAAATAAGGTGAAAAGTGGCTTAAAGATGAAATCAGGGAGATGATTTGGGGCCAGACAACATAAAATCGTTCAGGACATTGTAAGAACTTCGAAATGTTTTCAAAGAGTGTGGGAAGTCACTGGAGAATTTTGAAGAAAAAAATGATATCATAAGTTTTATGTTTATTTTATTTTTTAAAGTTTATTTTGAGAGCGAGTGGGGTGGGGAGGGGTAGAAAGAGAGGGAGAGAGAGAAAATCTCAAGCAGGCTCTTCACTGTCAGTGCAGAGCCCGATGCAGGGCTTGAAATCACAAACTGTGAGATCATGACCTGAGCAGAAATCGAGTCAGATGCTTAACCAACTGAGCGACCCAGGCACCCCAAGCTTTGTGTTTTAAAATGATGTATCTGGCTGCTGTGTGAGGCAGGAATAAATGGTAAATGCTTGAAAAACTGCCTTTTACTGCCTATGAATGCACTTTTTTCTTTTTTTAACTTAATGTGATTAATTGTACTGATAAATTGCACTAATATTAAACCATCTGTGCATTCCTGGAGTAAACTGTGCTTAATTACATAGGGTATCACATGCAGTTGACTTTAAGTTGTAATTATTTTCTCTAGGATATTTACATTAGTGAAGGAAGTTGCTTTTCCAAGCTTTATTGGGAAGTTGGGAGAAACTGATTCAGGTGCTGTTAAATTGAACCACAATTTAAAGTGAGTATCTTATCGATATATCTTTGAAAGTTTCACACTGTTTTAATTATTTGTCTGGGAAACATACAAAATGATCAGACAAGAGTTGGCAAATGTAAAACTACTTTTGGATTAGCAAAGTGTAATTTAAACACGAATGGGTTGTAATCAGTGTTTTTGACCCTTTATTGCTGGATAGGAAGTAGGAAGTCAGTCTACCATCTGAAACAATATAACATTTCACTGACTTTGATGCTTTCATTGTTTAGTAGAACAAAGCAGTCAATGAATGGAGGGATGGATGAATAAATCACCACTATTTGCATGGCACTTTTCACAAGACAAAACTCTTTCACCAACATCACTCACAACAAATTTTGCAATAATACCCCCCAAGAGGTGAGCTATTCCATGGTTGTAAAACAGGCAGTACATTAAAATGATTAAGAATACTTAGAATGTCTGGGAACAAGTCTTGTATGTGCCTCTTATCCCATGTGTAATATCTGGTTGCACAACCTTTTGGCTCCCAGTTTTGTCACCTGTAAGATGGTAATAATATTTCATGGGTTTATTGTGAATGTTGAATGAGTAAGGCATTTAGAACAATGCCTGTAGAATAGTATGTGCTCAATAAATATTTACTTAGAAAGATGGTGGGGGTAGTATTAATTGTATGGAACAGTAGCCTTAAATTTAGAAGTTGTCTCATAGAAGTGCTCATTCCATTAAATAAATCTAATAAAAATACAATTAAAAGGGCATACTAAATAATTTATTCTATCAGCTCAGTGTTCTCATACAAAAGAGAGATAATGAGCACTTAGCATTTTGCACAGTAACTGGCACATAAATGTCATGGTTATTATGAAGGCATTTAGCTAACTTATGGACCTAATTATTTTAAGGCTAAAGCATTTATATAAATATAGTATGTTGTTAAAAAGACAGTATCAAGCTATATACTAGTCAGAGATTTGCTGCTTGCCTCTTTTGGTTGTGGATGGTTCTTTTCAAAGCACAGCTTGCTGTACCACCTTAAAAGCCATTCAACCCAATTTTACTCTATGTGTCCATATGGATGATAGTATTTTGCAATGTTAGTCATCTATTGGAAAACAATGTCATTTCAGAGATTGGAGATTACTATATTATCTGGCCAGGGTTGTTTGTCACTCCC